AGTTCAGCCCTAATGCATGTAGCTCTAAATCGGGTCTGTTATCCAGTAACATATGAGTCCTTAGACCAAGATCATCATTCAGTAGCTGGCAGGTAGTCAGCCAAGTCATCTAGGCCACCAGAACAGTGTTCAACAGGCAAAGTATATAAAAGACGTAAGTGGAGCTGGAGGAGTTGCTCCTTTTTCTGTAGTTAGTCAAGTTCAGGATCTAGGTCCCAAGAGGGCACAACGGTAAGATTGTCCTGACTACTACACACCTTTCTCTAGAAAGAAATCTTAATTACAGTCATTTGTATGCAATTGTGGGAAGTGCACTTAGTGTTTTGTTTCTGTCTATTGTAATGTTTATTCCTATTATACTTAGAACAGACACTACATACACATAGTCTGTCCTTTACCTGGTGATCAATTATTCATAAGAGATTCTGACCAGCAAGATACAATTTATGAAGGATCCACCTATGATCACCATATGCATCCATTACTTGAGATTATTCAAAATAACTTCCTACTTTTTTTTTTATGATAAACATGTTAGCAGTTCAGAGACCATTAAAATGCAAACCATTTTTCCTGTAACCTGGTGCAGCACCTGAGCTCTAGATGAAACAACAGCCACTGCTCTATTCGTCTGTAAAATGGCATTAAGTGCAGGCAGCAGAAAATAGGTGGGTAATAATTTACCACGCTTACCCGCTTCAAATGAAAAGCACCTAAAGCCACATAAAGAATCTAATAAATGACCTATCTTCAAGCAAAATTGGGCTTGTTCTCCCTTGTTTGCCCAGAACACATCAGGAGCAGCTTTAAGAATTTAATCCTCACAGCATTCTTCAGCTGACACTCCCAGTGTATGTCTACTCTATTTCACCTCTGTTAAGCACATTTCTTTCAGTACAGGTATATATTTAAATCCCTGTTTCCATGGGAGCCAAGTACATTTATAAAATACACAATTCTTTATCTCTTCCATTTAGAGGACTGTTTGGATTTGAGCTATTCAGGAAAGGAACCTGTTTTTACAAAAAAGTGGGAAAAGAACAAGAGAAAACATTTAAATAAAATGGCATATGTCTGAAGAATCTATGTTAAATGCGTTGCATACCTATATGTTAACAAGAATATCTGGAATGACTTTTTAAAAGCATGGAATGGAACCATTGTGGTCATCTAATTTCACTCCCTATATTTAAGGAATTCCCTTGGCTTGTTACTATAGCTAGAGCCAGCACATTTAGGAAAGCTTCTAAAACTCTATGCAGAGTCAAGGCAACTTCTCACTATTAGAAAATTCAACTTAGTGAAGTTGGGAGACAAACTCTTACTGCTGTCTTTTGTAATATCCTTGCATCTTTTCCTAAGACATGATACTGGACAGAATTCTGGTCTGGAGGGACTTGGCTCACAACAACATAGTCCTGCTAACTGAGAGGTAGCAACAGAGCCAAAACAACTTTTTTTTCCAGAGTAATTTATTGTTGGTGACATAGGTTACTAAAGCATTGCTGCTTCTCTGTGCTATGTATCCTGGTTGGAACATTATTTCCCACTTAAATAATATGAAGCATTACTTCTGATGTTCTATTTCTTCCAATACAGTTAAATAAAAAAAAAAAACAACTTTCCCACAGTTTGCTGTAAGCAACAAGCTTTGGACCATAGGTCAAAGTGTAACAAACCAACAGGGTACTGCAGTGATCCAAGTCTAAATTATGTACTAAAAATACTTTTCCTGTTACACTACCTTGTGACTGCAGTAATTAAAATGCGGATAGTCAAAGTTAGCTGTTGAGTTAACCTTCCAGGTTACAGGGAGTAGAGCAAGTTCTGTTCACTTCAGGAAGAGCCATGTGTTTGGTTAGCTGCTCAAGTGAGAATCGCTACCCAGTGAGTCATGTTAGGGCTCCACCTACTGTAGTCTAAACAGCAAGATTTCAACTTGCAACTGAGTTGTCACCAGGGTCTCTAGTTCTGTTGTGTGGAACCACACTGAAAATAGAAGCTTCACCCTTCCTCAAAGTATAGAAGGAGAACAGCAGGTTGTTCTGCTAGACTACTGAAAAGAGCAGCATGTCCAACGTTTTTCACCATCAACTTTTTAATCCCTAGGATTAAAACCATGCTTTTCAGATTAGTTACTAATAGATGGCATATGTCCACAGCTTCACAAAATCACACACCAAAACACTACTTTGTCTTTGCAGCAGACTTAAGTATTCTGCCAAGAAACTTAAATGATTCAACCAAGGCAAACTTAGTGACCTTCATCCCAGTATAGGGAAACAATCAGCAAATGAAATTGTAATTCTGGCAGCACGGATTTTTTTTTTTTTTTAAGTATCGAATTGCAGATAGCAAAATAAAAAGTTTGTTATTCTTGACAATATCGAACAATTAGTCTTATCTCCACTTTCCAAGGCTTACAACCAAACACATGGTTTATCAAAGATCAATCACTGGACATACTGGGTCAGTTTGACACAATGTACATTCTAAATGAGGAATTCAGTATGAATCACTTAGATGTCCACAGAAGGCTTGACAAGAACCTGTAATTAGTTAAGCTACAGAAGACAGGAATTAGCATGAGCAAGGATAAAGAACTTGTAAGAAAGAACAAAGGCCGTATTGAAAAGGGAATTTGTAGAATTCTGTTAAGTTGGTCTGGGATCAATTCAAAGTTTTTTCTTAACTGAGTAGGGCACAAAAGTTAGGAATAAGTTAATGATACCTGCTGACAAAACTGTGAGGTGTCACCAATACTGAGAATAATCCAAACCAGGAGAAATATGTGGATCTAGATTTTTTAATTAAAAAGTGTCATAATGCCAGGTCATGCATTTAAAAATAACTTTCTTGGCAAATTGGAGTTCAGCTGCAAGTGACAGCAGGGGCAAGAGGTTGGGGTGCTCAATCACACTAGTGACAGACACCAAGAGGCAAAGAAGGAATTTGTAACAGGAAAGTACTGATGTATTCTTATTCATTGATCTATCTGCTGATATGGGTATGGTCTTTACCAACTCAAGTTCAAGAAAGACTGAGATTAAGTTTAAAATGGGCAGCTAAGTAATCAAAGCATAGACAGTGCATTAGAAGAAAGGAGATAAAGCTTAATATGTTTAGTAAAATGAAGACTACAGTATGATGGCTACCTATAACAGATTATGTATAAATACCAGGAAGAGCATGAAATAAGAACTTTAGTAAGGACAAAGGAGTTATATTTAGGTATATTTAAAATAGAATTTAAGATATGGTTGGTCAAGACAGGAAAGAACTGAATTTGTGATTCAGGAAACCCCTTCTAAGGTAAAGTTAGTGGACACAGGGAACCAGAGAAGATGGCAACAATGAAGTGTCTGTTAAACACACCAAATTAGCAGCATAAACTTCTTTCCTATCCAGAGAAACACATAGTATTAACCCTTCTCTTCAGTCACATGAATTTAGAATGTCAAATTCCAATTGCTTGTTAGCTTAACCAGCAAACTAACAGAAACACAATACAGTCCGCAAGGGCTCCCTTAGATCTTACTCTAATCCTAGTCACCACCACCAGAACTGTTCTGCGCAGCATCGATCCTAAGTACCTGATAGCAGTCATAGGAAACCCGACTGTTGCATACTGCCTATCCACTAATATCTCTTGAAGAATCATCTAAATGTCATCTGCAAGCCTTGCAGCACAACAAAGCACAGGGAAGCCAATTACCATCCGGTATCTGCAATTTCCATTGTGGTACACCACCACCTTTCTACTGCCAAGACTGTGATCAGTTAAGAAATACTGGCACATTACCAGCTCCCTCCTGCAATTTTAAGGCATTTCTGTCAAAGATACATCCTGCAAGTATGATTTTGGTAAGTAACACAGAGTACCTTTCATGTGCTTGTGGGTTTCACGTGCACTTGCTCAAAGATGCGAACAAGCACAGTCTTACTACGCTAGTTTTCAAGAACTTCATGCTGAGGTAAAAACCCAAGACCAGCTCAACTAAGCCAGGATACAAAGAAAAGATCTTATCATTTGAGCAATTAAATACTTGAGTGCTAGGAGCTAGTAACAGAGCCATTTAAGCAAGGTATTTTAAAGCCTAATACTTACCAGGAAAACATGCACATTGCCAGAAATAAACATGTAATACAGTAATGTCCAGTAAAGTTGTACTCATTCAGAGATGCCATCTAAGAAAAGAAAAAGGCTCAACATGTCACAGAGGATAGAAAATTTTATTATATTAGTGAGGGCACTAATATGACTAAATGTAATATTCGGTGTATATAGAAGCATACCCAGAGAACTCTATCTTGCGTATTTAAAGCTATACTTTGTCAAAGTTACTTGGAGCAAAGTTATTTTGTTTAGCATCCTAAACAAACAAAAAAATGGAAAAAGTCCCCTAATAAATCCAAGAAGTCTGTGGTTTACAAATCAACAGCAGGTTAAAGCTTGAAATCCTTGGTGATGTTTCTTGACTCCCAAGCTTTTCCCACCAGATTTTCTATTGAACTTCATTTTCAGATTTTTGTGAAGTGGAACCTGCATATACACAGCACCACTAATAAACCAGTGACCATTCTATAGTCCTCCATGGAAAAGCATATTATGTGCAACACAAGAAGCCACGCTTTCAGCGTGCTTTAACAGTTGGAAAAAAAAACCTGCAAAGTCTGCAGAATTGGAGTTGACTTGCATCCACTCTAGTTTTCTTTCCTGATGCCATGTTATCCCCCCCTTTCTTTCAAAAGTGGATTCATTATACAATAATTGAGAACAGTTTTTTCTGGACAGAAGCCATTCTTGCCATTGCAATGGAACTTTTATTTCAAATACATTCTTACAATAAAGCTGTATTTTGTTATACAAGAAGATAAACTCAGGAGACAAAAGATTCACGTACTCCATTTTAAAATACTGGGCTCAACTAAACTGCAGCCGTTCCCATTCATTTCCTAAACCATGTTAGGGATTTTTCAGGGCAATGGAAATAAAGATGTAAACCAAGTCATCTAGGTAATTAGATTAGGGTCCAAGGAAATTTGTAACACCACCATAGAAAAGTAACTGCTCATTCTTCAGGCTCTTTGAAGTGTAGGGTGGCAGAAGTTTCTTTATAAACTCAGAAGTTTTTCGTTGAGAGCAATCTGTGACTGTGTGAGGTTTGCTAAGTAGGTTACCATCAGTAAGTCCTGAGAGGAGAAAATAAAAAACAGTGATCAGAAATATTAACAAAGATGGTACTATTAGAGAGTTGAATTTTTAACATTTTTAAAAGCAGTTTACAATCGGCGACTAGAAATATTGTTAATCCTGAAAGTCCTATCCTGAGGAATGCTTCTTCCCTCGCAGGAAGAAGGTTTTGGTATTCCCAGAACATGAAATGCTGCTTGTGAAATTTTAACTCTGAGTTCACCCATGTTAACCAGGCAAGTCAAAGGGTATAAGCAAAATTAAAAATTAGTTCTGATGTTGCAGACTGTGGGTGAACAACACATTCAGAAACTTGGCTTTCGCTTTCTAAAAATCTGTTACAGAAATGAGGTAGCACTCTAAAACCTTGTTCAAGTCTAAGTGTTACAAAAGGAGACAGAACTTCAGCTCAATCAAAGGAAGCTGGCAAGTCACCAGTTATCCTTGAAATCCATACTGCTTTAAGCTTGGTAATTCATGTTGTCCAATCACTCTAAAAGAAGAATTGGTGCTGGCTTTCAGATTACTTGCCTAATTCCTAAGTACTTTAAAACTTATTCTCTCATTTGCAGTTGCTTGCAAGATTATTATGGTGAGCTCCTTTATCCACCTTCAGCTCTTAAAACATCAAATTACTCACAAGAAAGGGCTGTATTTTCTATTAACATGTTTGTATGAAAAGATAGATTGTTTTGATCACAGACAAATTTGTGTCTGTATGACAAATTGCTGGCAATACACTGAAAAAATCAGATGATAAACTTACATTGATATTGCTGTTCAACATTGTCTCAAAGTCCTCTGGTGAAATCTTTGGCACCTGGTTAATAAGATCCATCAGGAAACGCCCGACAGTGTTGTCAGCAGCCACTTTGCCAGACTAAGCATAAGAAACATACACTTCAACATGAGTAAAACTCAGTAAGTTTATGGCCCAGAAAGAGAATATATAAAAAGAAAAACAAGCTTACATCAAACTTGTTTGCTGGCTCATAAAAAGCTGGCCTTACCAATACATCCTCTGCATACTGCAGCACCATGGTCAGGGTATCCTGAATCCTGGCTGACGCTGATCCCACCTGCTGTAAGTCACTGGACAAGCCAATCACTCGATTAGGGCTAAAACAAGTCTTCATGATAAGATCCACTGAAAGCAAAAGGAGGATCAGTGAAAAAAACTGACTGCCACATAAACCAGTTCAAATCCTTAACTTGTTGAAGACTTTTAGGACAGCTTCAGCAAGACAGTCTAATTCCCAGCAGAATTCCCAGAATGGCAATTTTACCAGGGTAAAAAAAAAAGCATTTGAACAGTGTCACAACAATGGTTATGTCCAAAATAGGAAGAAAACATTCACCTCCTATCCTCTCTGTATCATAATAAACATATTTCACTGTTAGAGGTGTGAACATCACGCCCATAGTTTTACCAGGGACTCCCATTGGGGCACTAGGAAAAAAAAGAACAACAACAAAACTTTTTCAGCATGGACATATTTAAGGGAAGAGTAATAGATTTCCATCTCAATGATCTCTGTTAGCACTTAAGTATAAACAAGGGTAGGCTACTCATTCTCACCAAAATCAAGCAATATTAAGACCATGGATAACTGAGGACAGGAAATCAGTCCTGGCATACTATTAATTGCTCATTTTCATACAAGAATATTCCTAGTTGGTCTGACATTTGTCAGCATGAACGCATGAAGAGCTGAGTACTATCCTCTTAGCCATAGTTCCTTCTTGCTTATAGAGCACATATTCTTCTATCCCGAAATACTCCATGTTTTGAGAAATCACTTAAGGAACAAACATAAATATGACAAAAATTCAATGAGAAGTAAGCCATGAACCCTGGCTGACTGCTGTGTTTTAGCTACTGCACAATATTGTCCAAAATGGGACACTGCAGCCCACTACGTTTCTCATTACCCTGATGTGGTCTCTCTCAGTAATTCAGATAGCTCCCCTCCCAGAAACGCAGCCTCCCAGAGTACCTGACGTAGGCTTTAATGCTCATGCGTGAATTCTGGAGACTCGTGTCCACAGTGAGGTGGATTGGATTGTGTGCTTCCCGGCTGTAATACTCATGGATCAGGACAGAGTGTTCTGTGATGTCATGGCCTGTTGCGTACCTTCAAAAGATCACAGCTTGAGGAGCCATTCTTCCAACATTAAGCGCCCAATGTTTGGTATTGTTGGTATTTAACAGGTTTGTATCCTAAAACACTGATTTCCAAACACTGAGCTGCAGAAGCATACTAAATACAAGTGTTACAACTAGGGAATTTGTAGTTTCATGGCCAGCTGTCCTAGAATTGTAGGAATCACAGGCAGAGCACACCCATGCCCAAAACATGCACAGGGCCAGGGCTGTAGTACCAGCCATAAAGAGTCAGTACAGCTGACATCAGACACCCAAGATTCAGTTATCTGTCACCTGTCACTATAAAACTCTTTATTTCTGTGTAAGTCAAAGCATGCCAAACAAATCTGGACCAACCAAGTAGATCTTCCACAAATTAAACATCTCTCTGCAGGAGGTATAACTTGTTAATCTAGCTCCTTTAACTGCTCTGCAATTAGCTTCTCACATACACAGGAAAATTCCTGTCATTAGAACTGCACTTTGCCATTAGAAGGTTGTTGAGGAAGTTTGCTCCACAGGAACAGAACTAAGCTATTTTGTAGGATCAGAGAAAGCATGAAAAGACTAATAAAGCTATCCACACACTCAGACACAGACTCTGTTCCCGTAACACCCTACTGATCTTGCTTCGCATCCCACAGACAAGTACTTCCACCTTTTCTCAGTAGAGAACTTCTGCACGCTCAAGCTGATATCAGTGATTCCTCCCGAGGTCCTCCGTACTTCAAACTACTCTTTTGTGTTCTCCCTTCTTTCTAACCAGTTATCTTCCACGGTGCAGGCTGTATTACAGGTGGCTAAATTCTTCTAACAAAGCCGAGCAAGAATTCTCTAACTCATCAGTCCTCTGTAATACCTTTGCTAGATATAAACAAAACCAAACCCTGTAAGTCTCCAATACTGTCTCTTCCTATTACGAATTGCACGAGCTTTACAACTGACTATAACAAGAGTTGCAAGATCTTACTGTCATACGCATTTGTGCTTCTGATTCTCCACCTGTGACAAGGAGAATTATGAATTTCAAGTAGTTTAAGGGACCAACATAACTGCTTGCATGTTCTTGCAGAAAGAGAACTTACCAGCCCAAGATGATCTCACTAGGAGACACCTTCTTGTGCAACTCATACATGTTTTTGGCAAATTCCATATCGACTGCCACCTGAGAAACGGGACAGGACCAAGTCAGCTGGTTACAGGGATGCTTAACTCTTGGCGGAGGACCACACGGGCACAAGCCCTAACACCGCAATCAGAGGAAGCGCAGGGAAGCACAGGGGCCGCACCCCTCGGCAGTCGCCGCCCCGCCGAG